ATAAACAAAATGTAAACACACACAAAGTAAGAATAGAAACCAAAAAAAGCAAATCAGACATTTAATTTAAAAAGTGCTTTAGGGAGGAGTGATCGATCAGACATCAATGGAATTACCTTAGTGTCTACCTTACCAAAGGGCATTGGTTCGAATCCTAGACTTGGAACAGATCGGTGCAAAGAAGATCCAACCTATGGTGATCAATTATACATAATTCTACACTGTTTAATGTACAATACATGATTGAACAGTGTACTTTTTAAATCAAACAAAGACACATATCACATTATGTCCTTCGTTTCCTACCTCAAAATGAACAACCAATGTAGATTATAATCATTTCATACAAAAAAGAGATGAAAAGATTCATGACATTTCGAAGTAAGGATGCATTTCCAGCCTTTCCTTGGAGTCGGATTTATATCTATTGATTTAGAGCGTGAAATATTTAGTAACAACTTCTATATACACCGTGAATCCATGTGTTTAAAGCCTTACCCCATGTTCAATGACCTGTGAAAAGCCAAGTTTCAACCTCACATCTTATGTAGGTCTATATTAAATTAAATCTTGTTAAAATCATATATTGTCCCAAACAGCATATTGTTCATCCTCTCTGGAAACAAAAATCATGTTATTTTCAGCCTCAGTGAGGTGGTATATGAGACGGTATTTTAATAACACATGTATGATATAACGCTCTCAAGCAAGTTAGGTAACACACAGACACATATAAATATATACATATAAACAAAGATACAAACCAAAGTACAATCCAATCGACCTACCAACCACCAAACCAACCAACAAACCTTAACAAAAAACACGAACCAATTACATCACAAGCCATATTGAAAAAGATTTAAGATATGTTGTATTTACTTTAGACCTGCGTCGTCTATAAAATGTATTTTATATGCTTTTTCAGAAAATATTTTGTTGACACTTATCCATCCTAAATCCTTTCTTTTCCAAACGTGTTCTAGAAATGGAATACATGTCGGGGGAGATATGAACACATGCAGGGCTCAAATTAATTTTTTGTCCACGGGGGCTCTCCCCCCGAAAAAAGAGCCCCCGTGAGCCTTTTCACGGGGGCTCTTTTATTACTGACGGGGGCTCTTTTTTATACCAATATCCATTGAATTGGTACCTATGATACTCCTCAATTATTTGCTATTTCATCATTATCATTTCAATCAGCATTTTCCCTCTTACAAATTTACAAGCTACATAGCTGTTACTGGCCTGTGTATATAATATATACGCATACAACACTGATCTTTATGATGTCTTTAACGTGACATATCTTCTTCTCCCCTTGCAAACGAAAAAGAAAACATGGTCATTAAAAGGGATTAAGCGACAAATAATGATTGTGATTCAAATTGATGCGAATATTTGTTTGAATGAGCACTGCTATTCACCCGAATCTTCTTTGTAAAAACAACTTTTACAAATCTCAGCCATGCTTACTGAGTTGAGACGTTCCATTCAATTTAAAATACCCATTACATAATACACTTCTCCTAATCTCAAAGTGATCTTACAGCACAGTGGCAGAATTGCATGGCTGAGATTTGTAAAAGTCGTTTTTACATAGAAGATTCTGGTGAAAAGCATTGCTTATTCAAAAAAAAATCCTTGCATCAATTTGAATCACAATGATTATTTTTCGCATGGTCCTTTTATTAAATAACCTTGTTTTCTGTTTTGTTTGCAGAGGGAGAAGAAGCTATGTCACGTTAAGAAATCATAAAGATCAGTTGTATTATGCGTATATACATATGATACCAGAACAAATGTTGATTATCAGAATGTCATTTTGGAATACCTCTATACAAATACCACATTGTCTTTAGCCCGTATCAGTATTAGTATGATCCAATATAAAGCTTTTATTCTTTATTTAATTCAGTATAATGCTTTTCCTCAAAAATAGTTTTGCTATTTTTTTAGGGTTGAGACGCTAAGAAATGGTTTCAAATGTACATTAAACGAACCCTGAACCATTGCAAAATGATGGTGGTTCTCTCTCTCTCTCTCTCTCTTTATTTTAATCATGCATTATCAACTACATATAAAGCAGCAACCAAAAACTTAGGGTTATCTGAGATAGGTGAAAGTAAGAGTTAAAGAAAAGTCATGCTAAAACGGCGCTTCACTTCCCCCCGCCTTCTGAAAAAAATAAAATAGATTAGTAGTCCTCCTCTCCAGAATCCCCCTCCCCCCCCCCCGCTTTAATATCACATTTTCACTTGGCAGCCCAAGGGGGCCGGGGGGGGTGGGGGTGGGAGGAGGGGGTTAAACCCCTACCCCCCCCCCCCGCCGTAGATCTGCCCATGTAACCTTATCATTCCACGCAGGGACGGCGATCCCGGGGGGACGGGGGGGGGGGACACGTCCCCCCCCCCTCAATTTTTAAGGGGGGATCGTCCCCCCTGGAAATATGAAAAAGTGCAAAACAAATTGTATAGCATATACTGAATAATGACTGCAA